GGAGGAGGAGGAGGAGGAGGAGGAGGAGGAGAACTGTGGAGTCCTTGGTGCTTTTTGAGCTTGGTCATTTTCTTGCAGACATTTCATGACCCAACTGGGGAACATCATCAGTGCTAGAAGGAATTGGGGATGACTCTGAATGAAACCTCTGGAAGAAAACAATTGAGCTCAAAGAGCAGCAAGGATCATTATCTCCTCCTCCTCCTCCTCCTCCTCCTCCTCCTCCTCCTCCTAGCACTGATGATGCTATGTAGTCAGGTCATGAAACATCTGCAAGGAAACAGCCCAGCTCAGAGAGCACCAAGGACCCCTCATTTCATCCCTTCTGTCACTACAGTCCTTTCGAAGAAGTAACTGGAAGGACAACGATTCACAACAACTTTCCTTATTACAAGATGGTTGTGTAGTTCAAAAACGGGGATTTTTTCTTTCCTAAAACAAAACGTGCGCACAGAAGCGGTTTCAGTCCAGTGACGCCTCTCTGGCTAACACTCACAGGTTTTTTTTATTATTATTATTATTATTTAAAAAGCCTGTTCTGGCCACACTTTTAGGGAACCAAATATTTAATTTTTACCTCCACAGGGAATCGGGACTTCTCTTCGAAGCAGTGAGACTCAGAGAACCGTTGGAGTCTCCACTAACGTTTTCGATGTTATAAGCCGGACTCACACACACGTTTTAACTGTTTGACTGTTCTACTACCAAAATGCCTAGACTGAAGAAATAGACCCCCACAATCCCTCTCTGGAGGTTGGCTGTGATTGTAATGACCGACCACCAAGTACAGTTAAAGTTGATTTGATTTTCTGAACTAGGTGATTCTGTCTCTCCCTTTCTCTCTCTCTCTCCTCTCTCCCCATTCTCTCTTTCACCCCCTCTCCCATGTCTCTCTCCCTCTCTCTCCCCCTCTCCCTTTCTCTCCCTCCCTCTCCCTCTCTCTTCCCCTCTCCCTTTCTCTCCCTCCCTTTCTCCCCTCTCTCCCATGTCTCTCTCCCTCTCTCCCTCCCTCTTCCTCCCTCTCTCTCCCCCTCTCTCCCCTGTGTCTCTCTCCCCTTTCTCCTCCCTCTCCCTCCCCCTCTCCCCTCCCTTTCTCCCCTCTCTCCCCTGTGTCTCTCTCCCTCTCTCCCTCTTTCCCTCACGCTCTCCCCCTTTCCCTCCCTCTCCCCCTTTCCCTCCCTCTCTCTCCCTCCATCTCTCCCATGTCTCTCTCCCTCTCTTCCTCTCTTTCCCTCGTGCTCTCCCCCTTTCCCTCCTTCTCTCTCCCCCTT